AGAAAGCATTTGGCAAGATACCACGTAAAAAGCTTGTGGGGGATAAGTTAGCAAATTGGATAGAAGAGTGGCTGGATGGAAGAAAACAGAGGGTTGTTAGAAATGAAGTTCAGTTAAACTGGACTGATGTTATAAGTGGGGTACCTCAGGGCTCAGTCTTAGGACCTTTGCTCTTTATTTACGTCAATGACATAGATGACGAAATGGCCAATAGATTATTTATATTTGCTGATGATATCAAGGTCTTGGGTGTTGCTAGCTGTGAAGAGGATGCTACTGATTCACAAAAGGATTTAGATCATTTAATGAGTTGGGCAAATAAATGGTAGTAAACGTGAAACTTGGAGAGTTGTTTATGAATAAACGTGACTCTGTGAGAGTTGTATTATGAACTGATATACATGTTTCAATAGAATCCCCAAAGAAATATATATATACATCTGGCACTGTTCACAAACGTCGCCTATAAATATTTTGTAACAGCTCAGCCGATTTTATTTTTAAAAAATATTCGTCAATTTTAACATTCGCATTAAACATAATCTGAAAAAAAATTACATGTCCAAAATTCATACTCACCGATGGCTCAGCAATAAATTCGAGGTTTATAACGCCAACAATTGGGGTTCGATACCAGCAGCGGCCGCAGCGCAGATTATCCATTGCGTAACTTTGCGCCGAAAAAAAAACCAAAACAAACTTCATAAGATTATAATTTTTTAGTGTAATGAGTGTGTAATTAGGCCTTTTAATTTACGCTCACTTTGTTTTTATTATCATAGTTTAAAACTGTCCTAAGCTTTAGTTTGCTTGATCTTGGAGACACAAAAGTAGAAACTTAGCCCACGATTTTAGTGTACTCATTTTAAACGCCATCTTGTAATCCATAAATTAGTATTAGTCTATTCTTTTATTGTCTATTTACATGGGTGCTATGGTGACATGGATGCTATGGTGACAATTACTTTAAAACCGGCCCGGCATGGCCAGGTGGATAAGGCGCTCGAATCGCAATCTGAGGGTCGCGGGTTCGAATCCGCATCTCACCAAACATGCTCGCCCTTTCAGCCGTGGGGGCGTTATAATGTGACGATCCTTGGGCTACTCTTTTACCAACGAATAGTGGGATTAACTACCACCCACCGCCAATGACTAGCTGCCCTCCCTCTAGTCTTACACTGCTAAATTAGGGACGGCTAGCGCAGATAGCCCTCGTGTAGCTTTGCGCGAAATTCAAAAAACAAACAAACTTTATTATTTTACATAAATCTTAGAGCCCGCCATGGCCAGGTGGTTAGGGCGCTTGACTCGTAAGCTGTGTTCGAATCCCCCGTCCCACCAAACATGGTCGCCCTTTCGATCGTGAGGGCGTTATAACTTCCAAACAAAAAATCCCATGTAATTAACTGGTAAAAATGGTAGGTGAAGTTTCTCATTTTAAGAGTAAAATAACGCGGGGAATACAAGAAGCAATTTATAGGATTAGACGAAAAATTAATGGTAATCTATTTCTTACGTTTTCATGGTTTTCTTTTGGTTCTCGACTTTTAGATTTATAAATCCTCATATTTGGTTTGAATTTCGCGTAAAGCTACACGAGGGCTATCTGCGCTAGTCGTCCCTAATTTAGCAGTGAAAGACTAGAAGAAAGGCAGCTAGTCATCACCACCCACCGCCAACTCTTGAGCTACTCTTTTACCAACGAATAGTGAGATTGGTCGTTACGTTATAACGCCCACACGGCTGAAAGCATGTTTGGTGGGACGGGGATTCGTGGACCGCTGAGCCACTGGAAGGAAACCTTTTTTTGGGAGCTACTCTTTTACCGACGAATAGTGAGATTGGTTGTTACGTTATAACGCCCACACGGCTGAAAGCATGTTTGGTGGGACGGGGATTATTATAGCTAACAGACTCGCAAGGGATTTGACGCGTAAATCAAGATCTCACTTCTGGGAATCAAACACAGAGAAAATCAAATAGCTGAACAGACCAAATTTGTCAGATATCACCAATCAAATGGTACTTGTAGAAGTTGAAAACGACGTGAAACTGTGTTAATGAAAACGATGTTTATAAAATTTACCGCATAGAAACTTAATCTTTTGCTTTGAAATAAAAAAAAATATAAAGTGCTCCTGGTGGTAAAATTCTTTATTAAACTACGTTGTACACAATGATAAGTTAATTAAATTATCTGGATACATGAACAGCTTTAGCAGGAAGTTGAAACTCGAAATGTTTATTAACTGTTCGTTCACTGGACATTGGTCACCAAAATAAGACGCCTTTTTAACACACACACAAAAAAAGGTCAAACGTTTATTAGGTAGGTTATCTAACTATAAGTCATGAAGTTGACTTGGGTTTTTATTTTCTGATGGTCAGAATGGCATAGCACAAACTTCACACACGTGATATACTCACCGGCCACTAGGCAAAGTGACGTCAAAATGGTCAAACGTTTCTAAAGTACAAATATAGCCATCAAAAGAGTAAACAGCAGCGAAACAATAAAAATGTGTGTGTGTTTTTTATGAAGTTTGGTACTTCTACCAGAGCAGTGAGAACTGAAAGTGTGTTGTTGTTTATAAGTTTGGTACTTC